ATGCTAGAAAATCTCCCCATAGCTCTTAATGAATAATTGAAGACAATATATAACCAAGACGCTTGTTTGCTACCTCCAGAGTTGGATCCTACAGGACCATTAAATTAATTTTTAATAACATATGCTATGGTTAAAGTTATAGGACACAAATATTATTTCTAAATATACTCATCATAGAAAGAGTAATCCCAAGGTTATAACCTGGCTAGCAGAAGGTGCGCAATGACTAAAAAAGCAGGAAGGGAAACATTAGTACAGTTTACAGCTACTCCAAGTTATTTTTCAGATATCATCTGTTTGTGCCTCTTACCTACATATTCCATGACTTTGACAGTGCACCATGGTGTGAATGCTCAAATTTTCCGGGGCAGTTCTCCTTGCTTTTGTGGTCACCTTTTCCCTCCAGAAGCTGGCAACTGATGACTCCTTTTGAGTGTACAGGATCTGTGCAAGATCTTACACATCTAAATTATTCATCAGTGAGGAGGAAATTTCTGTTAGTGCCTCAGGGTGATGTTGCAAATGTTTCACAAATTTATTATGCAAGAAAAATTCAGTATAATAAGTTGTCTGAAAAATAAATTTGTAGAGAACAACATAATCACTTGGAAATCCAGCCCTTTAAAAGTAATTGTTAACTGCACCTAGGCCTCCATTAATCACTGCATAATTGAGTTTCACCTAATATTAACTCTGTCCTCAAGAAAGGCTGGTTTATCTTTGGAATAAATGAACATAATAAAAGAAGGAAACAATGGGGAAATCACAAAATCAGCACAAACTTTACACCAAAAAAGAACAGAGGAGTTACAAAGTACCCTGTACCATGGATGACTTAGTATTTGTACAGAACTTCTACAGCTTATCACTGAGATGGGCAGCATACAAGAACATATTTGAAGGCAGATAGACTACAGTTTGTGGGGTTATGATGGAGCATGAGGGTTTAGGACACTGTGCCTCTGCCAAGCAAAACTTTTTTTTTTGTCAGGAGCAGAAAGCAGTTTTGCAAACCCTGGCTTGCAATTTCCTGTATGCAGATATACCATGCTCCCTGACTTAGACAGCTTTACCTATGAGAGAATATATTTTCATTTTGGTATTTGAGAGAGTATCTTCAAGAGATTTTTCAAATAAAGGCATGATTAAATGTCAAGGCTTCTAAGAGAGACCCATGATCTGAGAAAGTCCTTTAGGACTCTTTGAAGACATCTGAACATACCTGCAAATGCAGTAAGGTCTCTGTGGCTTTCCCCTGCCACCCAGTTAGGGATATGCTACTAAATTATAATTAGAAATATCAGCTGCATTAGGAAGGAGGTGGGTAAAAACTCGTAAGTGCCAAGCTGAAGCAATCCTAAACTTGGTTGTTCCTTTTCCTCATTTTTAGGCCAGAGCATAAACTGTAGGTGAAATGTGACTCCTGCCAGAAGATTACAGTTATGGTTTTTATACCCACTAAAGAGGGAAAGAAAATACAGTATATGTAATTTTTTTTTTTTGACCTCCTGACTTTGGCCATGAGGGGTTTAGGTCTGCAGGGTCTGTTGTCCCACTTTTCCCCATCTCAAAATGAAGCACAGATTTCTGGCTAAAACCAGGATGCACATATATATATATCCCTCAACTTATAGCACAGTTTATTTCCATTCCAAAGGCTGTCATGCCAGGGCAACAAAGACCTAAGCAGTCAAGAAAACTTTGCGGCTATATGGGCTTTTAAATTCTTATTCATGGATTTTTTTTGTTGTTGCTTTTTTTTCATTGTTTATGGTAATACAGAGTGCAACACATGGAGCTATTCCAGCCATCACATAAATACTGACCAAGACAAGATTCCTCCTTACTAAAACCTTTGTGAACTGGTTAGTCACATCTAGATTAACACATTGTGACCTTTTAGAGAAAGGTCTTGCAAGCTCAAAGATTAAACAGAGAGGAATGTGCATCTGATCATGTAATACACTAATGGCCCTGTGTTTAAATATCACCTGGCTGGAGGGATTGTGTATTTTGAAGACAGGAACATCATCCTCCAGGAATTTTCTCTTATTTGAATTATGCAAAATTGAATCAGAGAATTGACTCACAACACCATAAGCTGTTAATTCTATCAGCACTGCTACAATCTCAGGTAGTAATTTAAGAAAGGCCATTCCTCACTTTTGTTTCCTTGGTTATTTTTATTTTACTTATTTATTATCTTTTTTTTAGACAAGCAGGGCTCCTCAGGTCACTCCACCTGGAAGGTGGCTGTGATCAGATGTCCTCCCCTGGAGCTGTGCAGGCAGTCCTGATGAAGACAACATTGGCTCGCCCGTGGTAGCTCAGCTTCTCTGGGATGTCACCTTCACTGTGCTCTGCTAGCAGGGTAAGCCCCAGATCATAAAGGCTGTGCACAGCAGTGCCCTAGCTGCCAATCGGTGAGAGACATCAAATTAAAGTCACACCTAGTGCTCCTTGTTAAGTACTTCATAGTGCTTTGAACTGCGTGCAACTGAAGCGCACTAAGAATGTACCAATGAAGAATGTATCAATCTATCTTCTCCTTCATGTTATGACAGTAAAATTACAGGACAAAGCAAGCTCTTCCTTTCAAAACAGGATATTAAGGGGGGAAAGAAAAACCTTTTCATAAAATATGTGCATTTACTTTTTTTTTTCCCCCTGTACAGCATAAAAGAATGCAGCTCTGTCTCAGTGGACTGTCTGAAATCAATGCAAGCTGAAAACAGAAGTTACCCATGCCCTTGGATGATAACACAAGCAGGACTCAAAAACTCAGTCGACAACTCCAACCCACTGACTCAATGAAATAGAAACATCTCATTAAAAAAGAAAACCAGCTCCAAATGAGAAGTTCCCAGGAGCATGACAAACCAGTGGGTAAAATAACGTGTGGGCTGGACAAAGCACTATCAAGGAAACGCCTTGATCTTGAACTGTGGCCGCCAGATCACAGAGCACTCTTGAGGGAGGACATCAGGCTCCCATCCGATTGCTGCTTTTATTAAATGGTCCCAGAATATCCTGTTAACAGAGAGAGGGTGCACACAGCTACCACAGGCATTAGCTGACTGCTCAACTATGTCCCTGTAACATAAAAAAATCAAATGACAAAGGAGATGATGAAAGAGAAACAATCAAAAAGAAATTAAAACTGACTGGTATCTTAATCTACAGTATATTGCCTTGTGTTTTCCTGAACAGCTAGGTAGGGATGTTAGTACTAAAAAAAAAGAAAAGAAGAAAATGAACCCTTCTTTTTTTATTTAATCTCACTGTTAAGAACCATTCATGTTGCCATTGCAGCCATTACATTTGGCATGAACTTGGGCTTGCTCTCACTTTTCTGAAATCTTATTCCCTGTTAAAATCCAAGAGAACTTTACAAAGAGGATAAGCAGCCCAATTTCAGGCATGTTGGGGGAGTCTGTACTTAGCACAGTTCACAGCATAGACATTTAAATCTGTGCTCTTTTGGTAAATATGTTAGGAAAAGTAAAAAGGGTAAAACATAATTTAAAGTCACTAAAATAAGGAGCCACACAATAGTCAAAAGCTATGGAAACAGACGATCACAGAAAAGACACTTTCAGAATATAAAAGCTGGCAAGAAAATATTAAATTTTAACTCTACTAAATAAAATATATTCTTAAGGTTTTTTGTCTTAAAGACATTGCTGAGCTCATAATCAATCAGTCTGGCTACTTAGACACAGTACCCCATAGGAGGACTTAGCAAAAATGAAGTAATAAATTATTCAGTATTTAAGCAATTGTGTAAGGAATATGTAGCTGAAAAGGACAAACTGCAAAACAAGATTATTTCCCCATTAAATCAGTATATGCCGTAGTTTTAATAGGGCTTTCTAGGGAGATAGCTAGACATTTCCTCCACGCACAGAATTGAGACCCCAGCTTTTAATCTTGTATTTTAAAGTCAAATTACTCTAGTATTTATATGCATCTGAAAAGGATCACCGCCCTCTCAACTTTTAAAACTAACATTATTACTGTATTTACAACTATGTTTTCTCCTCCTCAGTTGGTTACCTTTCTATAAAAAAATACCCAACAAAACTTTCTGCCCTTCTCTATTACAAATTTGCATAAGGTTAAGCTTATAAAGAAATACTAGGAAAGTCTCATCTTTGTATACACATACTACACACATACCATACATGAGTATGTCCAAGGAGTCACAGAGATAATATTTTCAGACAAGTACGGTATTTTTTCAGAAAGACAACTGGAAATTACTAAGTGTAAAAATTTCAGTTTCCTCAGAAAGGTTGTTCAAACTGTCATTTAAACAAGCCAGATGAGATTTACATTTTCCATGAAGAGTTTTGATGAATTTTGGATATGTTTTGATACATCAGCTCTAATCTTCTGGAAGACTTCCCCTTTTTAAGGCTTTCTCCGGATTCATTATCAACCTTTTGAGTGTCTTACAAAACATGAATACAAGTCTACTAGTGCTGGAGACTATCCCAGCTGTTAATACCCATAAAGACAATGACAAAATGGGCACTACTGCATGCAACTTCATGCAATTTTCATACACAGCTGTTAAAACACAGGCAGGAGTTCTGTAACACCAGATTTCACAAAGAACTGATACTGTAAAATGTAACATCAACACCTGACAAAATGGAAAATGTTGTTTGCCAGTGCCTGCATCTCAAGGTCACAGTATTAAACAGCATCAAAATAACTTGTTAAGGTGATAAATTTTGTCTCAAGCCCCCATCTCTTTTATTTTAGCATTGAATTTCCTTCTGGCAGCTGCACTAAAATACTAAACCACTCTCAGAGGCTGAATGACACGATCTGGACATCACAGTTTATTGACTCATGACAGATAACCAACACACATTTCAAATCTTTGATCAGTTGTAGGGTTTCTTACTTACCTTCCAAATGTATGCTGCAAATTTCTAACAGTAGGAAAACTCAAATCTAAGCCAAATGATAATGATTAAAACAGCAAGACATCAACTCCACCTAATTTAATATTAGGATCTGTTTTTAAGGAGGATGCTTCTTGAAACTTCATACCAAACGTTTTCAGTTACTAATCACAGAACAAGCAGGAGTGTTGTACTGGATAAAACCACAGTAGGTGTCAGTACTCATTCAAATATGTTTCCACAGAGTTGTGACAGCACTGTCTGTTGAACAGAATTTGAGGTGTTCTGCACTATTTAAAAACACAAGAGTTTCAATTCATCATCTGTTTACACGCTACCATAGTGACAGAAGATTTTCAGAGTTCTAACTCCTTTTTTTTTCCCTTGGCATATATAAAACGTTAGAAATCAAAATGTAAGTCTGACAGATTTAACCCATATACATTTACCTAAATGGATAATTCTGTTACTTTGGTGACAGTCTTCAAAATAAATCAAACATGACCAAATAAACACCTACAACATGCACCTTTCCCCCCGCACTGTTTTTCTGAATATGTTAAAAATGTAAAGAGGCCCATATGTTTGTAAAGGCAACTTGATCATTCAGCAGCAAAACTAACTTACAGAAAGTGCACTATAAAAAACCAGTTACACCCAGACATTACACTGCTGAATTACTGACCTATACTCAACCTTCATTTTTATACTGCTAAACTTCTGAACAGTTTTAGAGATTTCAAAATGCATCTCCTTTAGACCTCAGGGAAAAAAAAACCTAATAGAAGAGGGAAGGCATATCCCCACAGCATGTGAGACAACCATCTCGCTGGTGGGAGGGTGGCTGGTTTATTGCACAGATCCAAGACCCTAGCCTGGAGGAACCATCAGGAAAGTAAGCTGCCATGCCACCCTTTGAGGGCTGATGCATTCTGCCAGAGGATTTTGGCTATTTTCCCTTAGATTTCTCACGGAATGGTGAGAATCTTTAGATGCATCCCAGACTAGAAATGTTTTACAGCAACTACTTCACTGCTTCTACACTTAAGCTCAGTCCCATTATCCCTTGTCAAGCTTTGCCTTCTCCAACCCGCATTCCATGTCAAGGTCCCCATTACTTGTAGAAACATCCCATCTCTATTTCACAAAGGTCCATTATGTCTTCTTCTCCAGCCAGTTTCAGTTGTCCATTCTGTGCTGCAAAGAGAAGGTGCAGTCACTGCTTTCAGTGACATGTCAGTCTTCACAGGATGGCCTCAGGCTCTTGCTTGCATCCACTCACCTTCCCTTAGACCTTTTATCATCTCCTCTACAGTCAAACTGGACAGCTGCTTCTTCCCTCGAGCTCTATAAGGGGTTATTAAACTCAAGCAAGAAAACCCCCCACTAGTACAGTCTTTTTATTCCCAAAGACACCCTACTTTCAAAGAGATGAATGAAGGAATATTGCTGGGCTACAGCTGATGGGACTGGTGCATTTGCTTGGCACAGGTGGGACACAAGAGGAGCAGCAGTGCTAGATGGACTGAGGGAGGGCATGTGCCATGGAAGTTAATTACTTGGAAGAAAACTGTCAACTGATCAAAATCTCTCCAGGCCTTGCCAGAAAATCCCCTGGATTGAAGTCTGAGGAAGTCACAGCTTCTCTCCTGATGTTTTAGAACAGACATTTTTGAAATCACAATGGGGTTTTTTTGCTTTAAGTTTGAGATATTAATAAACAACTCGACACTGAGCCATCTAACAGGAGAAAACAGAACCACATCAATTTCCCGGCTCAAGAAAAAATAAAAATACAAGGCAAGTAAGCATTTGACAATTCTTTTTGCCAGTTATGGTAAATTCAAATCCAGAAATGTTAAGCAGTTGGTCTTTCTCAAACAAATTTTGCTAAGGAGTAATCCAAATACCAAAATGTATCTTGGCATGTATTACAATGAAAAAGTGTTGACGTGCATTCACACTTTATTTCATTTTTTTCAAGGAATTAAGTACCAATAAGTATTCAAATGTTTGCCATACTGCAAACTCGTTGCTCTTACTGAGGAGTACTTATTCTTGCAGACATCCCAAAAAAATCAGTGCTTCCTTCCCTTAGATATCACATTAAAACTACTACTCAGGGTTTAAGTGTTGTGTATGGGATTTGCAATCTATAATAGTGTAAGTAAAGAGGACTGCCAGTATTTATGGAGCAAATGCCGTAAAACAGAAAGAGAATGACATCTGCTTTAAAGTAACCACAGAAAGCGTAACTGGCATATTTTGGAATTCTAAGGCAACAATGTTGGACCAGCATACAAAATTCTGCTGTAGACTCCAAGTTAATGTACTGCTGTCTTCTGCAAAGGAGAGATATTCCAATGTTTTTTCCTTTCTTCTCTTTTTTTTCTAATTCAGTGATAGGTGGCAGTATGAAATGCCAGCATTGTCACCAGATAAATTCTGTACTTCTGCATTCAATGAACCCCTTAAAGCAGCATGTAATGCCTGACTGGAGCAGTACACTCTTAATTTAAGATGATTTATCTTGAGATATTCACGTATATTAAAAATACACATGCACATTTTTGCAGACTTGAAATTTAATGCATTTTCAGAATTCACTACAAAAATGCAGTTTCACAACTGTAACCATACACTGGGACTCCTACAGTAGTATGGATAACGTACAGATGTCTTTCTCAGGACTACCAAAACTGCGCATTGTGCAAATTGTCTAGAACTGCAATCCTTCCTCAGCAGCAGTTGGAAGAAAATTTGTGAGCTGAATACTGATATCAAAATACAGATTTAAATAATTTACTCTTAAAAACATTCATATTTATAACCTCTTACAGAAAATAAAACAATTCATCTGATTATCAGATACATCCCTCAGTTTTTCCAGTTCCAAGGTATACACAGGTCTCCATCCTGCAGCACAGAGTAGAAATGTGAAATGCAGAGGTGCATGCCTTGTAGGTAGGGTAAGGATTCCTCCAGCAGCCGCTTACAACAATCTATCATCTGTGCACTGGAAACGCTGGGTTCCTTATACAGCCGGTCCAAAGAAAATCTTTCCATGGAAGTGTTGATTAGCTCCTTCTCTGTAATCATCATCCTAGCAAATGGAGACAACACACAGTGACAAACTTACAACTTCATCTCTTAAAACCCCTGTCTTAAAAAAGCATTTCAATATATATTGAACATATATTAAAACAAGAAATACTGAAATAAATATATTATTAAATGCATGTAAACAAAGGTGTCAATTCATATACAGGTATGGTGGAGCTGAGATTTTTGTGCAGGTTGATACACATGACTTATCTCAGAAATCAGAGTGAACATTCTTCCATGACTATGGGCACTACATGCCATGGACTCACATTTCAAAACCCATGTCCTGATCTTTCTGCTCACTATGTAAAACTGGGAAAACATAAAAAAAAAAAAATATTTTTAATGTAAAGAATAAAAATACTTAAATAATATTGAAAGTTTAGGTTTTAAACATAAAATCATGCTCATAAAATAATCTGTCTTAATTAAACCAGTACTCTGTGTGTCATCAAAACCAACTGATAGGTAAAGCAAACTGATGCATATTAAGTGTGTTACTAACTTTGCAACTTCAGAACTTTGTTTTGTTTGATGTGTTTGAACCCAATGATCTTAAAGGTCTTTTCCAACCTAAATGATTCTATGAATTTTAAATCCAAAGCTTGCAGATGATTTTTTCCTTCACCCCAGAGAAATAAGACACCACGTGCAAACTCAGAAAGAAAGAAAGAAAGTTAATGTGTATATTTAATTAATGCACTGGAGCTGTGACTGACCAACTGATGAAGAGACAGTTCAGGTTCAGCCAGCCCCACTAGCTCAGGCACTGTGCCATGCAAACATAGCTGCACTTCCAAGCCAGCCTGGCTGCAGACACAGCACCATTGCTGCCCTACAGCACAGACCCTGTGCTAGACAGGGGAGGAGCACCAATGGGGTGTGAACCAGCCCAGGAAGCTAAGCACAGACACAGCTAGTGAGACCTACATTTGCCTCACATGAAAATGCTACTGTAGGGCCTTGCCACTATCCCCAGAGCTCAGGTGGGACCTCTGTGTACACATGGCACTGAGCTCTGCTGAGGCCCAAGAGCCCAGGCCACTCTGGCAGTCAGCGATAAGCTGAGCCAGCAAGTTTAACCCAGTGCAAGCCTGTCCTCTCTATGGACTATTTCCATGCCACCTTCCTGAGTGCATTCCCAAATACCTAGGCACCAAGCTTTCCAGTTCTGTGAAATCTTAGGCTGCCTTGGAAGAATTCCAGTAAGCTGGAGAACTGCAGGTTTATTTTCTGTCACTTCCACAGGGAGGCTTGCACCTTTATCACCACACAAACCTGATACTTTAAAGAAGCACGGGAAGGAGAATTACTGCATTACTAGAAGACTGACATTATCCAAACAGATAACAGAACTTTCTAGAGCAGCAGCATTTGGATTTCCTTGTTCATTCACATCAGAATTATGGCCATTCTATGCTGTATACTGCATGCAAAACATTTAAGTCCATGTGCAAAGTACAGCCAGTAATCTCAAAATATCTTCCTTTATCTTAGGGCCTTTTTAACCACCACACAAGGCTAAGGAAAATCAGAAGGACATGAGGAAGTCCAAGGAAGCATTAAGTGGAAAATGAGTTTTCAGCTTTGATAAAAGACAAAACAAAAGCAGAGGTGATACAGAATGACTGTTTTGTATTTCCTATCACACAAGAACAAAAGAAAAACAAATTAAATCATCAGGCTGTGGGTATATAAATCACAGAATACCTCCACCCTCTTTCATATACACATGCCATATGTGATTCAAATATGCAATTTGCTGTCATTGGATATTTGGAGACACAAAATGCAAATTGGCTCAAAAAGTAGTAAGATAATTAAGAGGGGGGAGAATAAAAAGTCTATTGATTGCTATTAACATGAGATAAAGTTTCCCGCTTCAAGTATTTTCTCAAGTGCAGTCAGACACAAATTGGGAAGGAGTAAAAACCCCATGATATTTTTTACCCGATGCATAAAGCCTCTTCATAAGCTAATGGATGATGGGAGCAGATATTGTGACCCAGTATAGTTGTTTACTATTTCATACAAACCAGCAATCATCCAGCACACAAGATATGTGTCTCGGCTCTTACATTCCTACAACACAGTTACTTTTACTCTGAGGGCACAGTTATCCTGGACTGGTGTCTTTATGAAGTGTGGTAGTGTAAGGTTTTTTAGAGAGTGAGTTACCCAGATGCAAATGCATATATTTGCTACAACATCCCTCCCAAAATCTATAGACAGTATTTTCCCAGATGTCACATGTGGACAGTTATATAGAGAGCTATACAGTAGTTATAATTTATATGGGAAAAATTTAACTTCCAAGCTGGACTAGGGTTGTGGAAAAATTCCAACAAATCATGTCTACTGAAGTCCACCTGCAAAACATATTTTTACAACTAATGAGGTCTCAACAGAGCTAAACCATAGAGCCTTCAGCAAGACTCATGCCTAAAATAACTTCACAGGAACATATATGGATCTATACTTCATGTATACTGATGACAATGTGATAATTCAACAACTCATTAAAAACTTTCCATAGCGGAAAAAAAGACCTGCAGCAATGACTTCTGAAAGGACAAGTACCACACACCTGTAACAGTACTTTATTTAAAAACCCCAGTATTTCTACTTCCTCCTCAAGGACACAGATGGTACAAAGTCAAGAACCAAATTCAGAGTTCTGATGGATATTACAGACCATGGTCCTAATATTAAGTATGGTGCTATGACTCCCTATCATAATCACTATTGTCATCTATGAGAGGGTACCCACAAGGTGTTTCTCTCATCATTCTTCCCCAATTTTTTCTTGTCTTGTTAGGTACTAATTAATATTTTCTCAACAAACTGACTAACAACTAGAAATAATGATTCTCTAGTTGGTCTCAGTCATTTTGAGTTTACATTTCACTGTTTTTTTGGTCACATTTATTTAACATTAATAAAAATTAAACCTTTTCTTATTCATTAAGAAGGTGTTTTCCACCTCTTTGGAGACATAATTGTAAAAAGAATTATGCACTTTTGTCTTATAAGCAAAGATATTTTACTTCTGAATGATGTACAATTGTCTCTACAAGGTGAGAGAGGGTATTTTCTAATAACTGTCTGCATTCACTAATGCTGCAATTCTTTACTTAGTAAAGCTGATCGGTAAAGGTTTATTTTAGAAACAAAAGGTTTTTTTTTCACCAAAAGAGTATTAATACATTTTAAAAAATTCTCCTCCTTCTCCAAATAAAAAACATGCACAGATTTTAGAGAGATAAGTGTATTAAGACACATGAACACTTACTCCTCCTTTCTTTTCAAATTCTCTCTTGCTTCCTGTGCTTTGGCAAAAATAAACCATTGAAGTGCTGCCGGATCACAGACCGTTGGGATCATAAAGTGTCCAAGTTCATGTAAGCTTGGTGCATATCTGTCACTAATGAAACACGATGGAAGTAAAAACCAATAATTTTTAATGTAACTATTTATATAAACGGCTTTCAGAAAAAATTCTAAAGATAAAAGAATATAAATTAATCACTATCAGAATAATTGGTAAAAAATTGTCAAGTTTTGCTCATGAGAATAGAGAAATATAGTAGGCTATGCTTTTTAAAAATTACATTTCAAAAAGAACTGACAATAATACTCAAAAAATATAAACACCATCATGACAGCACAAAATTTTTGATTTAACCCAGCACAACACTCTAAACCAGAACAGTGAGTCCAACTTGAATGAAATTAAGCAGGATTTTCTTCAGTCTGATTCCTTCTTAACCCATAAAAATGCACTTAAAACCTTCAGAAACAAAAAGACCTTGACATAATGAAAATCTGAGATTATATAACTTTTCTTAGTGTGAGCAATAAGCAGTGTAACAAAAAAAAGAAAACAGTAAAAGCTCTAAAAGATTATCAACCTTCCCTGCCAATACCTACCTTTCCAGAATCATTTGCAAGCCTCGCAGACTGCGAGGATGAAAAGGTAATCTGCTGTCACGTAGTTTATTATAGAAAGAGTTCAGAGTCTCAAAGTACTCTTCTAGAGTGAACAGAGGTTGCAGTTCTTCAATATATATTACTTGGATGCCTCCCAGAAGTTGGCTTATCTGATCTTCCAAAAGCAGCAGCCTTTTTTGAAGTTTATAATAATTTGGCAGTCTCTCAAAAATCTGTGCATACACACAAACAAACATTTTCTATGTTACAGAGCTTTAAAGTTAATTTAAATAAATTAAAAAAATAACAAGAAACAATAAGAGAGACACTTAACAATGCAAACATGGAACCCAAGGGGAAAAAACTGAAATCAAAGAATACCATAGGTGAGAAATATCAAGTATAAATGTTTTGGGACAAGATATAATTGAACAAGCTTTTAAGTATTTTCTGTATTTATAACATAAAGGTAGCAAAAGGACGTAAAAACATTGATAGTCTCAGATAAAAAAACTGTATATAATCTGATGCCTATATAAAACACTTATTACAACAGTTATAGTGGTAGAGCTATTCCTCATACAGTAGTCACTACCTACCATCTACCCTGTTGATATTATTTTAAAGTAGGTTTTCATGCAAAAAAGAAAAAGCTGCTACCGCAACAAGTCAAATGATTTCAGAACTATCTCTTTAGAAACTCAGGAGAACAGTACAATAGATAGTAGATAGCTCTGGTAGTAAGAGACAGAACAGCTCTTGGCACAATAAAATTTGGTCCATCATTTGCACTTGTAACAGAGAAAACCAGCAAAAATCCTTTATATATTATAGTCCTGACCAACCATTCTACTGCTTCCTTCTTCTAGAAATTAGTAACAAAAATTAATAGCACTTAGGACTGCTTTCTAAAATGAGGTAGGGATTGGATAAATATGCTCTCTAGAAACTGACTCACCAACCTCATCAAGATTTTCACTGACTTTCTGTGTAACATTTCACATAATCTTTGCTGCATTACAACATAAACAGCCTCTGATTTCCAGTTCAAATACACACCACTCTTTTGTCTTCCCAAGCAAGTACCATCACTACAACTAACTACACACATTGTTCCATCTGCATAGCATTTTGTGTGAGTTTACGATGCCTTTGGAAAAACCCACAGCAAAGGTTAGAAAGTTGAAGCACTTATCTTTTCAAGAGGTCAGTGTTTATTTTAGTATAATCAGAACACTTTAATTGCAATGACTACTAACACTCTCAAATCTCAGAAAGTTTTCTATTAAATTCTGGTTTCTCAGTTTAAGTTCTTAGTAAACTGTTCACTCTGACAAGCCATGGTTCATTTTCCCTCCTCAGTGAAATATACAGGCAAAAATTCAAAGCACCACCAAAAAAAAGAAGATCAAGTGTTAACTTTTCATATTATTCACTGACTGGAATACAAAAATAGAATATTCTGATATAATAGCAGGGTGAAATTCCCAACTATAAAATTCCACCAATAATCCCCTTCACGAATAAAAGCTTTTTGATAGAATTATCAGTAATGTTTCAGTAACCAAGATTAAAGAAGTATTCCTCAAGTGACATGTTGATATTGCTACATATTTAGTCTTTGGTCCTTTGCATACAATGCTATCATTTAGGATGTCAGAAAGCTTATAAACTCTGAACATTACACAAGCAGCAGAATTGACATAGTCACTGAAGATAAAATTCTGCAACATCCACATTAGCTGCAACAGAATGGAGTGGGTAGGGTTGGTTAGTAGTCAGTGACTGAAATCATCAGTTCACAGCTTCCTTTAAACCTCATATTTATAAAAGATCAGAATAAAATCCATTAGCTCTTCATAGGAATGAACTCTTTATGGATCACAAAGTATTCTGCCAGGACTCACTGCACGGACTGGAACAGTGCATAACAAATTAGTTTTCTTTATCTCTAATCAGAAGTAGTACTGACTTACTAATGAAAGCAAAGATCTAGCAAAGACTGTTATCAGTAACAGCACACACAAGATTAAATTTCAAATGCAGTATACACCATTATGCTAAATGCATTAGCTAAGCGTTTGCTTTAAATCACTCATTGGTTATCTGCACCTATTAATATTTCTGTTTATAGTTTAAAAAAGGATATCACAGTAAGGGGCATTTTCATTTGATTTGAAATCTTCTTACTTTGGTCCAGTGATGGTGAACATCCATGGTCCCCAGCATTATGTGACCTGCTGCACTCATACCCGAGCGGTCTGTAAATACCACCGTGCGTCCTAGAGATTGAACAAAGCTCTTTATTAATTTGGGTTACTGCAACCATTCCTACAATTACTGAAGACTTAACCAGGCTGCTAACATGTCGCCAGCAATGTATTTCTGCCACACAAATGCACAAGAGTAAGTGCTTCTGCTATTCTCAAAATTTTGAAAGGTTCCTGAAAAGTCAGTTTAAGAATTTTTTTCACACAAACGTGACCCAGCATTTGCTTTCTCTTTGTTTGAACTTGATATATTTTTCTTAATTGGACTTTTTTCTTATGACTGCTTTTAAAATATGAGAAAATCTCATCAGAGAGGATATTCAAAGAATCTGTATAAATAATGTATAAAGTAGGAAACACACACTATATACCTGAAGCACATACAAATTAAAAGTTGGTTAAATAATTATGAATAAGGCCATTCAACTCTATTTCTGAACCCTCAGCAACATGCAAGCTGTAAGAAACACTTGCACATTATGTTTTCATCATTTTTTAAAATAGAGGCAACTAAAAGGCTAATTCCAAGTGGATTTTTAGGGGGATAAATCAGCTTTGAGTGCGAGTATGTTTTTTTGAGTTATACTCAAGAATTCTTTAGGGTAAAAGCACAGGCAACTATTTATCAAAATAAGCTTTCATGAAAGTCTTCAATGTGATTGATGTATTAATCTACAAGACAAGGCTTAAGCAGAAGCTCTTGCTCTCAGAAATCAGCTTTCCAAAATCCCAAAGAAAGAGCAACACTAACTTCAAGGCATCTAGTCTGTCCTTGTACCCTAAGGCAACAGCAACTGTACTTGTATATTTACTGACAGGTATTTATCCAGTGCATTACTAAGTATCTTCAAAAATGGAGACTACAACAGGTTCACGAGACAGGCTTCTCTAACGCTTTCTTTTCCTGAGCATGCTAAAGATAGACACTAATTTGAAATCTGATACAATTTAAAACTACTACTCATTGTCCTTCCCACTCTGTCTTTTGGCAAAGGATTAGGCGAACCCTCAAATGAAAGCCACTCAAAACTGGGTATCTGCAGTCAGACATAAAATGTGGAATTACAATTAGAGGAAACAGCTACTGCCACAGGTCAAACAGCTATATGAGAAGATTGGTAGGTCAGGTTTACAGAATATTTTAGTTTTTCCTGAGAAAATACCAACCTTAATACAGCCATTTTATGGAACACACATGAGAAAAGAAAGCAGCAGCATTTTAAGGTATTCTAGAAAATTATCATGCGGGTTAGAAACCTACTCACATTTTTGTCTTGAATCTACCATGGGCAACAATCTATTGCTACCTCCACCCTTTGAGAGGTTCAGTTTGGATTTTTTACTTTCATTGATAATATTAAGCCTAGTGCCTTCAACAGACTCCGCTTGCATTTATTAAGAAGTAAACTAGAAGCTGAGTGCAGTAAATAAATTCTAAGGAAAGGTCACTGTAAAAAATGCCCAGTAACTTTTAAATGTAAGTTCTCACCAGCTTTTCAGTAAGTCTGACAAGTTTGTTTTTGCAGTTCTCAAAAGAATTTGTGAAAAGAACTAGAGCTCCCTTGTCACAGCAGACCCATGCTTATTTCTGAATCAATACTATATTAGGATATATGAAACACGCAACAGAAATACCTTTAACATTCTCTAATATTTCAGGTCGCTGTTGGACCAAGCGGCCCAGACTGTGTAGCTGGCTACAGCGGTGAGCAATACCCCAGCTTCTCTGCCACCTAAATAAAAATGTAATTGAAAGCATTTAATCCTCAATATTATTTAAAAAAAAAATCACAGAAGTTGAGATGTAGCTCAAAACCTTATAACACAAGCAAAATAGCACCCCCACATTAATAAAAGCAAAGGCTACTCAAAAGCTGTCCATGTCATATGCTATTTGAACTGATAAAAAGCCTAAATAAAATTCCAGTGTTTCTTAAAGTGAGTCCCAAAAAACAAACAAAAAAACCCAACACATGGAAAAATAAATATAAAAACAAGTAGACAGAATTTGTAAATCTCTCCCCAGTAGGAAGGGGGTTAGTAAGAGAACAAGCACCACACAACCCAGTATTTGGTTTGGTCATGGAGCATGCAGTTTGTTTGGACACTGTGTAATGTTTGTCTAGAGGAGCAAATACAGTATTGTAAGGACATTGTCTTATTTTCTTTTTTTTTTTCTTCCTTAGCCCAAAACATTACGATGATTCCAATGGAAAGTTGCTATGTATTATTCATATTTTACAGTGGAATAATTTTTATTAAACCACACAAGAGCCAGGTGTTACCTTGCTGGCTTTAATACACATAGTTTTGACATTTTTTCCATCACAGACTGATCAGACTGATTGCTAAGCAAATTTCAAAAACCATCTAAATTGTGAAATTGTGAAATCCCAGTGTTTTGGAAAAATATATCTTTTTACAGACATCTAGTTGACATAAAACTGTCTCAAAGGGGAAAATTCCCATTCCTTTATTGTACTGTGTCTGTCTGGAATTGATTTAATTTTTTTCATAACACTCATATTTTATATTTTAGCTTTTATTAACAATGATCATAACACATCAATAATTTGGCTGTTGTGCAGTCCTGGCATAGTATCCAGGTCTTTACTTTTTCTTCCCACTCTGCCTCCCACCATCAGGAAGGCTGGGGTGGACAAGATGCTGGGAGGGGACACAGCCAGGCTGGGTGACTCCTACTAACCAAAGGGATATTCCATGTATGTCACGTTCAACAATAAATGCTGAGGGAAAGAAGGAAGGGGGACCCTTATGGTTATGGTGTTTGTCTCTCCAAGCAAGCATTACACATGCTGAGGCCCAACTGCCCAGAAGTGGCTAAACACCTGCCCATCAATGGGGAACAGAGAAATTCTCATTTTGCTTTGCTTGAACCCACAGTTATGCTTCACTTCAGATATTAAACTTCTACCTTAGTCCAGAAATTTTCTTGCTTGCGCTCTTCCTATTCTCTTCCTCCCATTTCACTGGGGGTGTATGAATGAGCAAGTGGTTGTGAGGGTACTCAGCTGCTGGCTGGGGTCACCCACATCATCTCATTTAGAGTAACCTAGCTGGCAAAACCTCACTCTTTGGGATGCAGAGAATGGCACTATGCCACAGCACTTGTGAGGCAATTTAATGAAATACAAGCAATTCAAATAATTATTTTCTGTTACCTAGCAATATCACTTTGCTTTCAGCAGCACCAGAGAGGAGCAGAAAAAGGTGGCAATTTCTTCATCTGTCCTAAACTTATACATGGAATAACGCCAGTGTCCCAGCTATTTTTCAGATCTCTGTGAACACTAGCAAGAGACTCCAGAATCACAGGTCATAGTGTCTTATTAAGATACTGGCTTGTCAGATTTCCAACACCCACATTCTTTTCTGAATTGTAACACGTAACACATGGAAGATTAATGGAACACAATAATTTTCATTTTAGAAGCACAAACTATTTAAGAAAATTAATATAAGCCATGAATAAAATCAAAACTACGCATTTAATACTGAAGACTGATTCAGAATATTAAAAACTCTCACCACAGCACAGCTACAGAGCATTAGAAATTGTGTTCAAAAAACCTGGCTTCAGCTTAAAAGAAACCAAGGTCTTTTACAGGGTGAAAGTACAAAAGCATGGTTTTAGAAGCTCCAGCTCTCTCTTTCCCAATTAAAAAAATAGACTAGCCCTTGAATTAATCCCCCAAAGTTCATTTTTCCATTTGTGAATACTTTCACTGTCACTTTCCCCATCCTGAATATCTCACTTCACAACATCCGCACTCAAAGGCAAAATTAAAAGGGGAACACAAATATTCTGGGAAATATTCTGAATAATCAAGATCTCCAACTGCACTCAAGTCTTTCAAACAAACAAATCTCCTTCTCCAGAAAGTGAGAAACTAAACATTAAAAGAAAGAACATTTTTATTAAGCATTTACAGAATGTCATTATGTACCATGTGCAAAGTTGCACTTCATGGCTGGTCAAGTTACCTTTGTAGATATTAACTTGATTTCAGGAAATGCAATGTTAACCAGCAAAACATCTAAACTAACACATACACACCAGTTCTTTTTCTGTGTTTGCCTCAACTGGAGCCTACATTTTCAGTTACAAATAGGAGGTCTGAGAGCAGGTTGTAACAGGAAACTTTGTCCCAGTAGAACACTTGTTGAAATTTACTCAGTGCAGTAACACATCTTCATATATGAAATATAGCTGTTTTGCTGAAATAAGCTTTTAACATTCATAGCACAGTATTAGACAACACTTCCTTGCTTTGACTGTCTTAATCCAAGTCCAAGTGATCCAATTAATTACCTGATATCTGAGAGCTGAAGTTCATGAGAAAGTTCAATTTTTAAACGTTCTAATTCTTTTCTAAGCGGCAAACTCTTTTTCAGTTTTTTTACTGCACTTGCTTCATTATAATCTAGCCAGGACCTGAAAGAGGAAGAAAAATACTCAACAGTAGAAGCATGCTGCTGTATGATCATGTGAGCAGTACAGGTAACTCAATTCTGAGTGATAGTCTAAGTGTTTCAAGTCAAATTATCAGGTAAAGGGATTTTTTAAAAACAGAGAATAGAAAATGAAATTCTAAACACTTCACCTTAAGATATCTCCAAAGAAAACCTTGGCACTTAATATCTTTGGAGTGGCCTAAGAAATCTAATGATCAAAACCACTGACAATGTTAAACAGTAAGACTTGGATGTATGTGTAAAAGGCATATGTGACTTCAAGGGAGATCTTCAGAACTCTGTGATTTAATTTAAGGAGTTTCCACATATGTACCTTTAAAAAACCCCAAACAAACCCAAACACACTAAAACCTAACAAAAAGACCCCAAACAAAGTGATCATAGTAGACTATCAAATATGGGAGGTGGTACTAAAGGGCTAAGTTAGGTAACTTTTACAGAGCTGACATAAACATAAATTAAACAGGTCAAAGTTTTATAGTTTCTTTGCCAATAATCACAACCAGACAAACATGTACTCTTTTGAATACATCTAAAATTTCAGTAGGCAATTTTGTTTCTAGGAAAAGCTTACTACTTAAGAGATTTAGCCTTTGTTCATAGTATAAGCTAATTTTCATACTCTGTTGCAAACAAATAGTTACATTCTCATTTGTATTTGAAGCACAAAAATTCAAACTCAAGTAAAAAGAAGGCTTGACGCCAGCTGTCTATGTATTAAACAAGACTGTTAATACGTAACTGTGGCATTCCTTGTAAATGTGTAAAAATAAGTAAAAATATTCTCTAGCATGTTAAATCTCAGTTAAGTTCTAAGTTTCTAAGTAAGAAAGAAGAGAATTTTTGTCACCAATATTCCACAAATCTGAAAAACCAGATCAGCCAAAACTAGACTGACCAAACATGACTGCTGGGCAAAGAGACAAAAATGCTTCAGCTTTGCTGGCACTGTAGTTATTCTAGGAGCTCATCTGAACTCTCTGACAAACATGGCAAAATTACATGTTGGATAATAACATTTTATATTGTTCAGAATGTTTATTGCCTACCTTTAAAAAAACTCAGCATTAGAATAAGACCAACTTAGGTTTCAAAATTTCAGTTCAATGAAAGCATTACATACAGTAAAGTTGTTTCCACTCTCTGGGCTTGCTCTAGTTCCTCCTCAGGATCCTTGAATCCAGTAAATGAATAGTAAGTCTTATCCCATTTGATAGGTCTGTTCACTGTGCTTTTTGCTTCTTTGTGGGGCTGAGAGTTCACATTCAAACTCTGAACATGTTCTGTAGATAAACTGCAGGAGTTGAGAATATCTAGTACTGTGCTCAGGAGATCCCTAGTATGTAAAGTAAAACTGACTGCTCGAAACCCTGTAAAAAAACAAGTATTATTTAATTAAAATTATTTTAAATGAATTCCCAAGAGGCTAAAGAAGGCACAGGCAGTTGGAAATTATGATGATACTTTTATTTCAATACTCACTGCAAAATTCACATGCAGTTTAACTATGTCCCATCACTTAGCTACAAGACCTAAATTTCTCTAATTACAAAGTAAGCTTTTGACTTAAGAGCAGAAGACAGCTTCCAGTTCAAATGCTATGTTAAGAAGACCAGACATAACCCTACCATTCTCTTGAAAAACAGCAGGATTCTATTTTCTAGCATGAGGGTCCCTCACAATTTGCTCAAGTGTTTTGACTGTCAGGATATAGAACGTAAAACTCTTCTGTTAGGTAAGGCATACTGGTACTGGAGACAAGTATGTAAAGTTAATCCAAAGCAACATTCCAAATTTGGTAATATTCTTTGTAGTCTCAAAGATAAGAGACAATGAAGTAAATTGAAACTTCAGATATCATAAAGCTTATGCTTAGAGAGTAAGTTCCTACTGATTCTGCAAGTGCCCTGACATTGTGTAGTACATATGAACTGCAATGAGAACAAGGACTCAACTATTGCTCCAGTTAAACATGGCAATGGTATTAAAAGCAGAAATATTATCATTTACATCCACTTTTTTTACTTCCTTATACTGTAACTTGACCTCAGGGCTATAATGTCTCATTCTTTCAAGGCTTTTTAAAGCTTAAGATGTTTAATTACTTGGGATGGCCCCACCTGCCTGATGTAATACAGATTTTCATGGTTTGACAGGATTTTATTCAGCTGAAAAGTCATTATGACTGCACAAGGCACAAGCAATGGTCTGAAGGAATTTAAATACAGGAAGATACATTCTACACGATATAAAAGCACCTGAAGCACTGAAGGGTTCCTGAACATTAGAAGAGTTTGGTTCTCTTTCTCTTACATAAAAAGTAAGCTGAGTTGGCTTAAAGGAACGAAATCCTGGTTTCTGTAGGTTCTCCAAGTAACCATTCAGTCTCTTCAGAGAGTTTTCATTTACTTCCTGTTTTAAAACAAAAACCAAAAATGACAGGTGATGAATTTGGCCATTTTTCATCTAAACCTTTTTAATCTTGCATGCAGAATTAGGTTTCACAAAATGTCAGTTGCTTTTAACAAGTAGTTCATATTCTATTCATAGTTCAATATGGTTCATATTCTCAGCATTTATAATTACCTTGCATGAATAAATTTGTATGGTGTACGTACTTGTACATTTGTGTACATTCCAAAATCCACTGGCTTTTCAAGCTTAAAGAAATTAATTCATTCAAATATAATGCTCAGCATTTCAAAGGGATAAAGTAAAATGTATTATAAATTTGCCTGGAAGGATTCAGTATTTTCTTTATAACAATTAGAAAATATGATTAACAAATAAGGGACTTTCAAGGGACCTGTCCCTGCTAAAATTTAAGGAAGTGCATCTTTTTTTCTCTGGTACCAACCATAATTAATTCTAACATTATTACTGTCTCTCTGACAGCAGGAAAACTAGAAAATTTCCATTCTTGATATATGAAATATTTACAAAGAAAGCATATTAAAGTATTTTTACCCTCTCTTTGGGATGTTGTCCAAAGAAATCTGGATGTACAGCAAAATAGAAAGGTCTGAGAGCATTGATGGCATCAGCACCTGACAAAGTTCTTGACTGAAGAATGCACTGCAGCAATATCTTGTCCAGACATAACCTAACAAAGTAGTAAAATGTTTATGTATGATGCTACCAATCAAACAGCAAACTGATATAATTACATTAAAATGTGATAGAATGGAGCAAACATTTATAGTTGCAAGTAAAATAATTTAAAAGCGAAGAATCTAAATTAGGAGCCTGAATTCTGGATCTTTCCTCTTGGGATTAACAAAGCAGTGTTTTGACAGAGCCAATCCACTGGGTTTGAGGAATGGTGGATGCTAATGATTGAATAAGACATTTAAATAAGTACAGAAACTTCTCTCTACTTTCTCAAATATGCCTCAAATAAAAATTCCCAGTCATTTAGTTAAAATTGCTAATACTGGTTTAGTGGTAATTTTTGTAGACATTGCTGAAGCTGCTCTTAAAAGCTAACCCTTATATACCTCTGAACCTCCAAGTTAAAAAGCCAAATCCAGTATTTTTCAAGCAGTGCCACAAGAATATTAAATTTTACCCAGGAATAATAATCAAAATTCAGTGAAAAAAAGTTCTGAATTAGTTTCTGAGCTTCATACTTGTGTCCATTAAAAAACCCCTACTTTCCTGAACATACTCCTTTATATAACATATCAAGTAAAAAGACAATACTTTTTACCCTTTCATCTTCATTGAATTACAAGAAACCAGGGCTAAAAGAAATTTAATAGTAGAAGAAAAAGACTGTTTCACCTAAGATGAGAAGAAAAAGTTAAGTTGAAGTTCTAAGAAGTTCAGAAAGTTCAAATTATCAAATGCCTGCAATTATGTAGAAATTAAACAACAGTTCTGTAATGAGCATGCTTATGTTACAGAAGGCTCAAAAGGAAAGAAAAACCAAGTCTTGCATTAAAATTCACCAAAACACCCTGCCATAGCTCAAAGGTAATATTCAGGTTTAGCAAACTAAGAAGCAAGAGAGTATACATAAAAGCAACAAGAAAACGTGAACTGGGAGATACACAATGATAGGTTTCTACTTCAGCTAATGTCACAAACTAACAAATTCATCAGGCCAATTTCAGCGATTAACATTCATTTTAGTTTACAAATCAGAAGGGCAGGGACCCTGCTCTGCCAATGCAGTTTCACTCCTTACAGTATCATTCAAACTGCAGCCCTCAAATAGGAAAATATATGGCAGATTAGAGACAAAGCTGCTTCCTACTCATACAAAATCATTAACTTTATTAAATAGTTAGCAGGACTGTTTTACAGAGAGCTATTTATCCAGCATCCTAGACCAAATCATCATCCTGGACACAGACACATGAGACTTTCCCAACTGATATAATTAATTTAAAAAAAAAAATTTTAAAAAATCCCCAGATTTGTGCTCAGACAATAAGCAGAATGTTTTACTTTGGCAAATGATAAATGATAATATTCGAGTTGTCAAGCAGAAGCAGTGACCCTTACTTTACCTTTTTTCTGTCAACCTTCCCAGGTGTTCAATTAGAAAAATGAAAGCAGTGAAGACTAATTTTTTCTGCCTAAGAGGGCAAATATTTAATTACCAAATCTTAAAAGTCAGCTTGCTGAAAATAGAAGTTATTGTAGAAAAGTGGGACATAAGTCTCATGATTTAAAAAGGCCGATGGAATTCCAAATCTACTATGACATAAAAACAATTTTCATGCATGTAGATGAAATGTAAGATTAAAAAAAAAAAAGCTAAAATATATCACTGGCAAAAACTTCTACCTCCTTGTTGGCTGCATCTCAGAGACTCTTAAATTAAGACTAGTAACCACTACAGCCCATGATCCTACTCAAAATAGCAGGAGATGGTGAAATACCACAGCAATATAATGCTATTAGAGAGTGAAAGCTCTTAATGACAAAATCGTGCCACAGTTGCCCACTGATGCAGGAAAAAACACCTCTACTACTAGACTAGGCAAGACAGGAAGCAAAGCACTATGGATAAAAGTCCACTTGGTCATATGCTTTACCAGTTTGGATCTGGAAAGCACCAAAATAATTATCTTGCTGATAAAAAAAAAAAAAAAGTGAATTTTTCTCTTTTTTTAGGTAGCAAGTGTACACAAAACAGTAAAAGGAAAAAAACATTTCCAGCAAAGGAAAACAGTAAACTAACCAGTGACCCTTCTGATTGCAGTTGACTGACATGCAAGAAATTCACAACCTCATAGACCAAGGTGCTACGAGGAAGAGTAGCTCAGCTCTCTGTTCACCTTATTTGTACACCATTTCCCACATCCACGCTCAAACTATATTGCATGATGTTTCCAGTAGTTCAGAAAAGAAGTTCAACATAGCTGGAAACCGTTAATCATACTTCTGAGTTTCTTAATCATAAAGTTCCATCTGTTATTCTAGATGAAAAATGGCCAAGTATGGCTAACTTTAGTTCCCTTGTTTTGTATCTAAACAACACTGTCATGGTAGAAGGAAGGCTCAGGATTCCAGCCAAAAGTCTATTTTGAACTTGCTTAAAAGAGAAATGCTCAAAGGCCAAAATTAGTCTGCGTGACAGAAGGAAGAATTCATTCACTGAAGGTGAAAGACAGAACTCTGAGGCATCTTTCAACTGGAGTGACAAAGTAAGTGAATTAAAATGGATTCAGAGGGAAAAAAAATGCAAGAAAGATGTTTATGGCTTCACTCATAAGGAGCAAAGATTGTTCCAAGAGCTTCATTTAGATCGAAAGAGCAGAGAAAGGTTTAATATTAAAATCAAGGTCACAACCACTTTGAGGGCAGCGTCTCTACTTCACGAAAGACATGAAACACAATCTCTACTAGAACACATTATGCAACCATACTCCAAGACTGATTTAATTTATTGGTTAAATAACTCCCTTCAACTTCCTTTTTCTTCACATCTCTCCAAAGTTCAACTTTTTGGTGTATAGCTTTGGCACTGAAAAGCTCTGTTAAATTAAGTTCATAGTTACAGACGTATTCACACATTTAGAAGCACTAAGTTTTAATAACTCAATAATACAGTAATATGTTAGCTATCATATTCATATTTCTCATAATTGAGGCATTTTAAAACCCTCATTTTCTTGAGAGCCTTTTTAATGTCTCACTTGAGGACAGGCATATGTCCTCAAGGCTTTGGAGAATTTTCAACTGTTGATGCTCTGCTGAGAGCTTCAAGCTGTAAAGATGAGAATGTCAAAGAAGTAAGCATGAAACAAAACTACCAAACCAGTTTCACAAATATGCAAGTCATAAGCAAATGCTGAAACATATGCTAAAGGTAAATTAGGTCAGTAACATGACATACCTTCTCACGGTTCTCAAGCAGCAAAACATTTCAGCAACTTAATGGTTGAGCCAAATTTCAGCCATCCACTAACTCACTTAAAAAAAGAAAATAAAAAAATCCTTTTTAGAAATGGACATGGATATTTTCACCTGTTACTTACCAGTGCATTTTCTAAATCTTGGGTGATAACTTTTAAAGTCACAATAGTAATATAAAATTGAGCAAGCACACATAAAACTTAAAGCTTTGTGTAAGAATGCTTTCAGTTCCCTCTACTAACAGTGAGTCTTGCCAATATTATGAGTTGTTACAGTATCTGGATTTTAAAATGAACATTTAAAGGTATTCCAGTTAGGGAAAAATAACTCCTAAGAATTTAAAAAGCAAAGAAATAGAAGCTTTCTTTAAGCACTAACACATGGAATTCCATGCAAACTTTTACTAAGTCCTACACTCAAGTATTAATACTTTAAAATGCATGTGCCAACTACTTTATGGGAGGATAATATAAAACCAGAGGGAGAATCACTGTCATACAGCAATGCCTGGGAATCTTAATCAAAGGTTTGCTGACATTTATAAAAATTAATTGGCAATTCTTACCAATAACTTCTGCACTAGGCAACTGTAGGCTAGACTTTGCCAACGGGAGACAAACTACTTGGCATGTAGAATGCAAAAATACACATAATTATTAGGGATTATGAGGTAAGCTCCCTACTGGCAATGCTTTCAAGCATTTTTTTAATACACTTTGTACTTATCAAAATAACATGCCTGCTGTTTTAAAGAACAGGAGATGAACAGGTACCAGAAAAACATCATCTGTGTTCCACTACAGAATGACATTTCCTGTGCCTACTTTGCAAAACACTTGAAGTTTCAAAAATGCATATTACTAGTACCAATATGCTTAACCAAGAACCTAAATTTTCACTAGAGGTAGATAGCGGGAGGAAAAAAATATACTGAGCAAAAATATCCCAAAACATTCGGTAATTTTTGTCTTCTGATTTTCAGGTAGGTGGGCAAAACAGTAACCATGTAATCTTTACTGTCTGTAACAAGAGTCCAAATCATAAACTAAGTTAAACACATTAACAAGCTCTCTGGTCATAAAACAGTCTCCCTTCACTGTAATCTCAGCTTCAGGACTTTGGGTAGAGGATGGAAAAAACTCAACAATCTCACTTAATCCGTGGTGACGCTTTATATAACCAGACAAAAGCATCATTGTTTCTTGCTTTAAATGCTCTATTAACTGCTTAGAAATTGGTACACGGCTTAGCTGAAAAACAAAACCTACTGAGTTTGACTAAGCTTCACCTGCACCCCACCTCAAAGACAAACCCGCTGAAACATAACGAAATATGAATTATGCCGCAGAAGCCTTCGGCGCCCCGACGTCTGACATCGCTGCCACCCCCCGCTCAGCCGGCTCCTGTCTGTTTCAGGTGTTTACCTACACTTGAGGCAGCACGGAGAAAACAGCGCGAAAATCAACAAGATGACAGCGCTCAGAAAATAAGCTCGGGTGTACGTGACACGCTCGCTCCTTGAAAGGGAATCGGCTGCAGTGGTCCGAGCACGAATAATTATACCCAGCGAAAACAGAGCCCTGCTGGAATCCGCTTCAAGATCGGCTAAAGGCAAGGTCTTCCCAGAGGGCGGCGGAGCCGACCGCGATCCGGCTCAGGGGCCTCTCGCACCCTCGGGACCGGGAGCCGCCGGGCCGGGCCGGGCCGAGCCCGGCTCAGCCGACACCCGGGGCCGCGCGCACGTACCGCCACGCGCGTGCCCGCGCACGGGCAGCCTCCGGCCTCCGCCCCACCGGCGGCACCGAGCGACGCGGCCCGGCTTCAAAGCGGACCCCCCCAACGCCCGGGCTCGGCCTCGCACCGTCCTCCGGCCGCCGTCCGAGCGGAACCCCCGCACAGGTGGGCGGTGGGCTGCGTTGCCTTTGCTCACGCCCTCCCCTCGCGGAGAGGCGCGCCGAAGACCCCCGCCAGGCCTCGCTTACCGCCGAGGCCGGACGGCGACCGCCGGGACTCGGCCCCATCGCCCCCGCCGACGGCCCCGGAGGGGGCGGGCCCGGGGGATTCCCGCCGGGGGCGGGCCCGGCGCGCGCCTGCGCTCCCGCCCCCTGGCGGCCCCTCCGCCGAGCGGCGCTCGGGGGCGGCGCTGCCCGCTCCCCCCGCCCCCGGCGCGCTCCGCGGGTCCGACCCCTCCGGGCGCCCGAGGGAGGCGGCCCCGGCCCCTTCGCGCCCCTGGGGCTGCCGCGCCCGTCGTGCGGCTACGCCTGCAGCAGCTCCGCACGGACACAGACGGGGAACAGCACGACAGAAGGAATGCTTGCCCTTCTGCTGAGGGGATGGGAGCATTTTAGCCAAATGCTTGCGTGCGCTTCACGTCGCCTTTTGTTCTGCAGGAAAAAAACCACCAAGTTGGTGAAGAACCAGGCGTGAGCTTTGCAGTCCCGAGGGGAATACAAGAGCTGCTTTCCTGCAGTTACACAGAGTCAGGCTGGAAAAGACCTCTGAGGTCATCGAGTCCAACCCAGCCCATGGCACTAAGAGCCACGTCCAGTCTTTCCTTAGAAACACCTCCAGGGATGGTGACTCGACCACCTCCTTAGACACATTCCAGTGTCTAATCACCCTGTCAAGAAACTTCTCCTATTGTCCAGCCTAAACGCACAGCTTAAGACTATGTCCTAAGATAGCAACTCTCGATGTACACATACATTTACACATCTGTTTTTCTTCCAAGGGTAGTTGGTGTCAAAATGCACCTGATACAGGGACATGGAAACTCGGAGCAAAAATGTCAATTGCTGCCAGTGGTCGAAAACAAAGGGAGATTAACTGTCAGGGACTGGCGTTATTTGCATGTAATCTATTGCATTTCCAGCCAGAAAAGGTTAAAAAGAGAACTGTCAAGGTTTAGGGACTATCTATAGTTCAGTGAAGTTTTAAATCAAGTGAACATTCTCACAGTCCTTGGGGGATTTTCATAATTTCCGTAATGTGCAGTGTGTTTTTCACTTTCCAAGAGAAGCCAATCAGTTATGTAAGCAAATTGGCGGCTGGACAATTATGTAAACAAAAAAAAAAATTGGTTCAACAGAAAAGTGTGCTGTTTGTTTCACCTGGAATTTATTTTAACTCGTTGAGGAATAAAATAAATTGGGAGAGGTCATCAGCAAGTTCCAGTGCCAGATACCAGCTCCACCTGCTTCGGTTACACATTTTCAAACAGAGTATCCTCATCCTGCCCCAGCTCAGGAATTAATTCCTGCTTTTTATCTAATTCTCAGCATTTATTGTGCTCATGGGAGTACTACTGTGGCTTTATCTGGTCACAATATTCCCTATCCTACCCAGAACACATCCCGCTAGCTCAGCAAGAGCTGCACAGATTTCTAAATGGAAAGCTTGTTCTATACCAGTTAAAATATCATCTGAAAAAGTCTGTATTTTGATGTCTTGAGCCCTAACAGAGAATTTTAAACATTCTTGCTTCTTAATTCTAAGTTGCTACAAGTGGCAACTGGAACTGATTTCTCCTTACTTGTTTTTTTCTGGTTTGGTCCTTGGTCTGTGGAAGGTCAAAAAATAGCATCAGTTTCTCCAATCCTATCACATGCAATGGTCCAGAACTCTGAGATCGTGTCAGTATCATTCTGATACTACACATCATTCTAGTAAATTAAAACAAAAAAAAAGGTATGCAGGAATGTAGACTCAAAAATATAAAGCTGGATTTGCAAAAAAACCCCAACCATCTCCAATAAAACCACAAAGGTGCAAGATGCATCTGGAGTATGTGAAAGGAAAAGAAATGTGAATAATTGCTTATACTGTGGCTAAAGTTTACTAAACTGAGGAGTATGACATTGAGACTTCAGTAATTAAACTTCTACTACTACAGCAGAGATATTTAATTTTACTATTTCTCCTCAAGTGAAATTCTTACTACCATCCGTTTGAATTCTTCAGTGAACTGAGCACAGCCTGTAACCCTGCCTGTAGCCTCCACTTCCAGTTAAAGCTGGAAGCTGGCCATCTCCACAGCTGGGAGTTTCAGCCCAATTTATTCATGAGCATTTGCTACATTATGTGCTTTGGTGTGATGAAGAACTGCATAGTCTGACTGATTTCACACTTTCTTAACCTCTTCATGCAGTGTATCATTCTCCAGGCTCTTGTAGTGGTCACAAGATATTAAATTCTCTACCTCAACTTTGCTGCTTGCCTATCTTGCTGCATATCTAAGAGTGTTCATTACAGGAATCTGAATATAATTAAATAATTCAATGACAATACAGACTCAGATATTTTGAATGCTTTATATGAATACTAAAAACCATTTATTAACAACCTAACAACTCCTCCAAAATGCTCCCCTTCCTCCCCCATTGCTCTTTATAAAACACCATAAAACTATCATGATCCCACTTCCAGCTTCCCACCTCTGTCCCACATTTTGAAACTCTCAAAATTATCAATATTTTGAAATAAAATTGTTTTGTCTTCCGAACCATATTATTCTGTTTTAGTTACAAGAAACTGTCCACACCCAACAAAAATAATCTTTCCAAGAGCACAGTGTGTAATCAGTGAAAAAATTTTTACAGAGGGAATTTCTCATATATCTAGCAACTGAAGGAGCACAGCACATTCATTTGCACATTTTTCCATCTCCCTCTGTAAACAGGTAGACATAAATTTCACTCCCTATATGAAAAATGATACCAAATATGTTGTTTAATGTCAAACAGAAGTTCTTTCAGCTTAACTTATACTGGGAGAAAGCAAAAATATGGATATTGTCTATTGAGTGGCTGAGCTCACTAAGTATCAACTTTGACAGAGGCTGTATTGTTTTGCCATGAGAGGTCTTCTGGTATTAAATGTTTGGTTCTTCTTACTCAGACTGTAGAATGTGACTTATGCAACTCATGCTTTGAATGTGATTCAGGATTTTCAGGTGGAAAAAAAAGCAGAAATCCTGAAGGACCAGGAATGGTGAAACAAGCTTGCTAGAAGTACCCATCTCATCATGCAGTTGGCAGAACCTAAAAGATGGGCAAACCCACCTCTTTCTAAGAGCACAATCAAGGGAGAGTGCAAGTTTTCCTTTTCAGTGGAAGTATCCATATATACAAATGCAAAACCATACACATGCTATTATCTACATCAAATAAATATCTAATTAAATTATCAACTAAACTTTCAGTTGTGAGCAATGTGTAGGCTGGCTCTCAGTTCTGTGAAAAACGGTATCCTAAATCAGGCATGTCTCAAGTGATTTTGAAGTTATCTTATTCTCAGTGCTTTTTATGGGGCTTTTGGAGCAAAGAAATGAAGATCTAAGGTGTAAAGAGTTGGGACAGTGACTTCACAAGTTACTGTGAGGCAGACGAAAGGAAACAGGTATTACTTCCACAGACTATGAATGAATGTGGAAAATGTCTCACTCAAGAACAGTAGATGCACTCAACCAATGCACTTACCTACACTTCTAGCTATGCGTACACTACACTTATATGATTACCTGCTGGGAGAAACAAGCTAAGTGCTAATTCTTTGTAAAAATGGAGAATGTAGGTTCTGATTGTAAAACTGGAGAATGTAGGTTCTGAGGCTGCAGCTTCCTCATTATCTGGTGATGCCATTGCAAACATCTATATAAATCAGTGTGATAGAGAAAAAAATTGCTCTTTCTGTGCTACTATCAGCATTACCTCCAATATAGCATTTAAAACCACAACTTGAGTTTGAAACCTTGCTGTAAAACTCAGTAAGGCACAGTCCAAACACAGTGGAAACTATTTAGTAACTACTGAAACAGCCAGACCTTCTCAGCCCATTTCATATTCTCCTGAAGCCATTTTAGAGCAGATGAATGCTCCAGGCAGTAAACTTCTTCTATATTAACATTCACTGTCGAACGCTTAAGAAAAAGCTTTGGATCAGATAAATGAGCCGCCTGGATCAGCCTCTCCACTGCCTCGTGATAGGCACTGGTATTCTGAACTGTATCTTCAGATCTGTAAGGGAATTTTAATACAAAATTAGGTACCATACAGGCCTATGTGTCACTTGTCTAACACTTTACACTGGCAGGAAAATTACAAAAACATTAAAATAATGCTTTGTATTTTTCACTGATAAATATGCTAATTTCTAGACAGATTATATTATTGTTCTGAAGAATTAAAAAGTTACAGAAAGTGTATTTTTAACATCTTTAATGGTAATATGGTAATGAAAAGTAGTAAGCTTTAATACCAGTGCAAAGTAGCTCCACAATATTCACAGCACATTTAATGAAAAAATGTCTCTGGGCTGGAAGATTCAGTAAAGGAATGCAAACCATTTAATGAACTGGATATAGCAAGAATTCATGTACATGTTCGAATCCGTAAGGTTTACTCAGTTTTGGCATGCAATTACTTTTGGAACAAGGCTGTGCCTAAGTGACACGCCTACATTTTTTGCAAGAGCAGAACTTACCATTTAAGAAAACAAACAGATACACAGCAGCATACACATGGGAACAAGAGATAAAAAACTTCTCACTTATTCAAGGAACAAAAGGAAGAGATGGATTCTTTGGGGAGGATAAGGAAAAAAATATCTATTACTTACATAATCACATGAATAAATACAATCAAAAAGGTACATATCTGACAACAAACCTTTTCAGTATTATTTGAAGAGTCTGACTAGTAGCCCTTGAACTTTGAATATCACTGGCATT